ATGGCACTTCCTCAGAAAGTTGGAAACAGAAATTACCATGTGACCCAGCAATCCCTCTTATTGGTATATATCCACAAGAAATAAAAGCCAGGGCACGAGTAGACATATGCACAGATGTTCATCCCAGCACTATTCATAACAGTAAAAAGACAGAGGCAGTCTAAATGTCCAATGGAAGAATGGATAAAGAAACTTTGGTATACACACACTCAATGGAATTACTATGCAGTTCTAAAGAATAAGGATGAATCTGAGAAACACCTCATTACATAGATGAACCTGGAGGACATTATGCCGAATGAAATAAATCAATCACAAAGGGACAAATATTTTATGAGACCACTATTTTAAAACCTCAAGAAACGGTTTTCAGACTACAAGAAATATTCTTTGATGGTTACCAGGGGTAGGAGGGAAGGGAGAGTAATCCACTAGCTAGAGGGTGGTGAGGGAAATATACAAGAAGGGGGATTTGGCAGAAGAATAATGAAGCTAGGCGAAGACACAGGAATGTACACAAGGGCTAAAGGGAATAGATGTAAATAGTGATATATACACAATCTTGGAACAGCCGTGTTCTCTGTGTAGACACATGGACAGATATACAAGCTAAATGGGCACAGGAAGAAGAGTGGGATATACACAGATTTATATACTCTCAAAATACATAAGAGTTTGAAATAGGATACTTGCACACGGGTGACCACAGGGAGGAAGTGGGACTATTGTTGCATGGAGGGACTTGCAATCATTGAGATGAAACAAAATGTGTGATTTGATGAATGTAAAACCAGTGATCATGTCTGTAAATCTGTCAGTTCATAACGAAGGAAAAAAAAAAAAAAAAAAGTCTACATACTCGATCTCTTGATTTATAATTCAAGCTGTAAATCAAGCTAACAAATTTTCTTCCCGCCTCTGCAAATAAACTTTCCTAATGATCCACAGAGAAGAAGAAGAAGAAAAAAAATTCTCAGCTCAGACAGGTTTTTTGCCCACATGAATGCCCAGCAGGATACTTACAGGTCACTGAGGACGTGGGACAGCTCTCCATGCTACAGGGCTGACTCACACACTGAAGGCCATCTCTTCCCCTCCCCAACAAGTTCTAGTCACCCTCGCCTGTCATTATGCTAACCAACACTGTGTCCATGTTTCCCAAACACCTCTGCTCAAAACCAGGCATATATAACCAACTTGTTTCATATGAAATTTTAGAAATAAGACCTCTATGTTTGATTAAATGTAACGAATCACATGCTGTACAAGGAAAACAGTCAAGATCAATTCAAAAGGTTTATTGCACCAAATGCCACAGAGAAATGGATCAAAATAATACATGAACAAGTTTTAAGAAAAAGTTTTCATACATTGACATTGGTATCTATTCAACCGATCTAAAATGAAAAGTCTTAAGAATTTTCTCTTAAGGGAGCTTCAATACCAACAAATTCCAAGAATATTTTTTCTTTTCCTTTCTTAATGCAACTTAAAATTTAAGCATATTGCAATTTTACTTCCAAGATATATGTTTCACCAAATTTTGACATTTCCCAAAGTTAACATTCAGAAGGGACTGTTTGATTTAGGCAAAAATTATATGCAAATACTCCCTCTCTTAAAACAAAAAAAAAAAACAAGGGGTTCACATTTACCAAGAAAAGCTACAGATTTTTCAATTTAATGATAAAATTATGCAAGAACAAAATACTCCCAAAAGTACATATTAGTGAAAAACTCCAGACATCTAAAAGAATGTTGGGTTACTTTATAGTCTTTATTTTTATGTACAATCAACTCTAAGTGAATAACCTAAAAAGCTACACACTACATTTTTATAAAATCTCAGGATCTAATTATAAGAGCCCTAATAACAGTTTAGTTATTAGTTTAGCAAGTGGGGATTTCCCTCCCTTCAAAAAGTTAATTTTGAAAAACATGGTAAGTTATAAAAGTTGTGATGTGTAAACGGCAGTTCAATGGGATGTGAAAGATTATACTTTTACTTTCATTAAAAAACAGCACACTTCGGAAAAATGGATTGAAGCCTGTACAAAAGCTATTTAACACTGATAAAAATAAAATACTTTGGAATTATGCACAAATATGGAAGCTACATTTTAAATTTTCATTGTCATGTTTCAACATACAGAATTACCTTTACATTCATATCACTTGTCAATTTATTAAAAATAAAACTGCAACATGCTAGAAAGAGGCCCATCACAGTGACATTTACATACTTCTGCTCTGTCATGCCTCACTAGCTTGCTTCAGAAAGCAAGATGCTACAAAAGTTACACTCAACAGGTAAGACTCAAAAGTTGAAGAAACCCTAAAGGTGGAATCCTGTCAACTGAGGTAGTTTTATTTACTATTATTATTTTTAATTTATATAGTCTTTTTTTTTTCCTTATGGTGGGCATGGCCTCTTCAGCTAAGACAGAATGAAGCCACTGTGTGGTATGCAATGTGTGACTGGGCGTATCTCAACACAATTCCATGAGATCTTTTGTTTCTTTTTCACTTTTGGGAAGAAGCAGAATTAAGACAAAATTGGAAAGTTTTTAAAAGGAGGATTATAAAAGAGCAGCAACATTCGCAGTCTGTTTTTTTCAGGCTACAGATATGAGGATTAAGTACTGACTGGAATTCTGACTGGATAGCCTGCACATACGCCTCACCTGTCGTTTTTCTACAGACGTTTCTCCAAGAGAGCGTTTTAGAACATTAAGAAGCAAACGAAACTTTCTAAGGTTTTCAGCAGGGACTGAGCTATGATCTTTGATGTTACGAGTTAAGAATCAATCATTTTAAGCTCAACTTCCCCTATGGGTTAAATTTCAACATGTCACGAGATTCACATTGTAACTGAACAGATTTTATATTGAGTTATTTTCTATGAAACCCTGAAAGATGATAAAAGAGGAAAAGTGCCCAAAATGTGTAAACAAGGCAAGGGGACTAGAAATGGGGAATGCTTTAAACTGGTACAGGTGCAGAAGATGTACCATCAGCTGTTACAATTCACTCACATGTAATGAAAACCCAATGATGAGTGGGTTGAAAGGTGAGGTTCATTCTTTCTTCAAACAGGGATGACATGAAATTAGAGAACTTAGAACACCAAACTCAAATTGTTGGACTAATGGAAACATAAAAACATCAAAGGAATGCAAATGCTCCATTTCATGACAGATTTCACATGAAAATTAATGATCACCAGAGCCTTGGTGTACCCATTCACATTATGCATCATAAAGAGAAAGGGCAAGGTTACAGTTCTGATTTGCCCCTACTCGGAAGAAATTATTAATTCATTCCCCCCACTGGTACTTGTAGTGTACTCTTTCAAACAAATAACTGACAGGCATATGTAAAAGAATAAAAGACACGTATTGATGCAACTTGCATTTGGGATGCGGATTTTACCATATAGAAATTCTGAAGTCACTCTAACTCCTAGAGGGAGGTTACTTCGTGTTCTTCAGTGCGGCAGATAATGAAAAGGCCTGGAATTCAGTATAAAACAGTGGAAGGAAACCCGAGCCTGACTATAGTTAACTGCACTTAGATCTGCAAGGTGCTAATGGTGTTTTCACTTTATTATATGAACTCCTGACTTTTAGTGCTTAATTTTATTTTTTTTATTTTACTCTGCACGTCAGCACATAATCTTTTTTTCATGGGCAGTAAACTAAGTACAATTTCTTTTATGTTAACAGAAAATTAAGGTTTCTTGAAGTGAACTATGCTCATGAATAAACAATTTTTCATTTTGGCAGGTTTTGTATGGTGAGTAAGTTAACTTCCAGAAAGTTGGTGGGTTTTTTTGTTTTGTTTTAATTTTTTAATGTAGGAATAAGAAGGCACAAAGACAATAATGTAAAAATGGAGATTATAAATGGACCATTTCTAAATGTTCAGAGGAATTACTTTCATTAGTCATCCTGAACTCTTGGAGGGTTCATTTCCCACCAGGACAGCTGTGCCTTTTAAAGTGTAAATAGTCCTTTGCATTAACTATCATAGGAAGAAAAGTGGCTTCGGCTGGAAGAATTTACCAACAGAAACACTCGTACAGAAAGAAATAACTTTGGTAAATGGCCTCTCTTAAAAAGGCGGCTGAAAGCTCTAGAGTACAAGGCTAAAACACACACGTGTGTGTCAGACTGCACTTTGCTGCCACAAAACTACATCTTCACGGTGGGATTAAGATGCGACCGTGATTCTTAGGTTTCCAGGGAAGACCCTGCACCACCAATCCATTCCTAGCCTACCGATGGCCGCATCTCCAACAATGTAAACTCTAAGAAGAAATGAAAACAGTGGGCCCTTGGCACTCTTTCTTTCCAACAATCCTCTTTCAAGTTTCCTGTCACACAGGAACACCTTCAGCCTCCGGAGTTCAAGACAGCACACTCTGGCTGTCTTTATTTCACCTAAAAAGCCAACGCTAATCTGGAATCTGAAGTTCTTGTTCCCATGGTCTTCTCAGAATAGTGAAATATGCTTTCTCCATATTTTGAGAAATATGGAGAAAGCGTATTTTCTTGGAGAGCTCATGCTTAAACTTGGAAACATTTTCCCACTGAAATGATGTGTACATTGTTATCACCTCACTGCTCCACAGTCACCACAAATGTGAACAAGTACATCTTATATGTTCTTTTTTCTGACCAAGCAGCACAAGGCAATCTGTACCAAGAGCTTCATGTTTACCGCAGTGCTATTTTCCCTCCTACCATAAACGGTCATTGCTGATTCATGGATGACAAAAGGCCTAAAGTGTTCATGGTAACACAAATGCCGTTATGCCAAGTAAACCCAAAGTCTTCCAATGAAGCAGCACTTGAAAGCAAAAACACAAAAACACAAAACAAAATGATGGAATGACGATTTCTGCTTGATCTTCTTATGCAACCGATGTCACAAAGAGCTTCTTCTCCTTCTGTTGAGAATTCAGTATTATTTCTTCCAAGGAAGAGCTGTCCTGAGCTTTATAAGAGTATTTGAGCCACATAAGGAGAATGAGTACTGGCAATAGCAGTCAACAGAGGCAGGTCATTAGATTCAATCCTAAATATTAACAACAACAAAAAAGCTTAGTTTTAAATGGCATGACTTTATAGAGAAGTAATATTTCTAATATACCAAGGCTGCTAGATAATTGCTTCAAATGAATTACAAAGTACAACAGATGCAAAGATGACGAACTTACTTTTTAAAAATATAATCCAGTGGATGCTGCCCAATGTGGCGAAGGAAAATGCAGGATGGGTCTGGTGAGTTGAATACAGGTAGATATGTGCTTATGTGCAGACATATGGGCATCTATATATGGGCATGAGCATACATGTACATTCATGTGGACATATATACATGTAGGCTTGTGTATACATATAGACTATAACTAAACAAGCCAGACTTTTGCTTGCATATGTCTACACACACATATGGATATATACACAAGCATGGATATGGGCATGTATGTAGACATGTGCATATAAGTGGACATGTGCAGCTTCTTTTCACAGTCTGGGTCATCCTACTTTAAGTGTATAGCTTTTCTATATCCCCTGTAAAACCACATTGTGTCATACTTTAATGTTTTCTCCATTAGTACTCATTCCTTCAGTTAACATTCCTGAATGCATGCTGGTTTTGTACCTAGGCTCAGCTTCTACCCACTGTCACTGAGTCCATTCCAACTCAGAGTGACCCTGTCTAGGGTTTCCGAGGCTGTAAATCTTTCAGGAGTAGAAAGTCACTTTTTACCCAAGGAATGGCTGATGGGTTTGAACCACCGGCCTTGTGGTTAGCAGTCCAGTGCTTATCCTAAAGTGCCACCAGCGCTGGACTGCAAGGTCAGTTTGAACTGCAAAGTCAGTGGTTTAAACTCACCAGTCATTCTTCAGAACTCTGTACACGCTGCTATGAGTACAAACTGACTCCATGGCACTTAACAACAACAACTTCCAGTTCTGGATACTTAGTGTGGCATTGTGAGATAAGCACTGGACTGCTAACCACAAGGTTGGCAGTTCAAAGCCATCAGCCACTCCTTGGAAACCCTATATAGGGTTGCTATGAGTCGAAACAACAATCTCCAGTTCTATTCTCAGCGTAGCTGCGAAGTTTTCTAGGACCTTGGTGCTCCTGGTCCTGAGTGTGGAGGGAGGGAATAAAGAGAATATAAATGTGACTTCCACTAATAAAGGAATACGGGGATGAGGACTAAGGGTAGATAAATGCTATGCTCCTTCTGATTGTGTCAGTGATGAACACCTGTCTGGGTCACCAAACCCATTGCCATCAAGGCAATTCCAAGCTGCCATCCACTGAGATCCAGGCCCCTGGAGATGCCGGAGAAGGGCAGTTCTGGTGGTCTGCAAGGTGGTGGTGGTTGTGTGCCGATTGAGTCAGTTCTGACTTACAGTGACCCTGTATAGGATTTCCAGGGGTATAAATCATACGGGGAGCAGAAAGCCTTATCCTTCTCCCACGGAGTGGCTGCTGGGTTTAAACTGCTGACCTTGCACTTAGCTGCCCAATGCGTAAGCCACTACACCTTCCCCTGGGAAGGGAACTAAAGACACAAGTGCTGCTTCAGGACTGGGCAGACAGTAGGATTAGATTTTTCTGGTGGCGTTGTAGATTAGGCGTTGTAGTTCCAATTTACCAGCTGCTCCGTGGGAGAAAGATGAGACCATCTGCTCCCGTAAAGATTTATAGTCTCAAAAATCCCAAAGAGCAGCAGTACCACTCTGTATTATAAGGTCACTCTGAGTTGGCATACGGTCACTGAGTTTGAGTGTAAAAATGTTGAGTCCTTGAGTGGTGCAGCCAGTTAAGCACTCGGCTACTGATCACAAGGTTAAAGGTGCAAGTCCACCCAAAGGGAGCCTGGAATAAACACCTGGAGATCTATTTCTGAAAAATCAGCCATTGCAATCCCCACAAAGCACAGTTCTATTCTGACAAACATGGGCTACCATGAATCAAAGTCAACTTGATGGCAACTGGTCTTTAGCATGAAAATATTGCAGGATGGGGATGAACACACAGTTTACTACCAGTTTATAGTTCTGTAACCTGTTTCCAGGTGTGACACAGTAGTAACAGATGTAAGGAACATGGTGTTTGTTACTCAGGGAGCAGCAGAGGCGTATACTGAATAGAGGACACCCTGGAGGGTACAGGTGGGACTGACTGAACGGGTCCATGGAACAGCTTGGGGCAGCCCCATTTGCAGGGAGGCAGGGAGGGTAGCACCTCACAGAACTCACCCCAGCACAACACCCAATTCTTTCACATGGACTCGTGTGTGTCCACGAAGATATTCAGACAGCATTTTACTTTTCAGGTACATCTCTTGTAGTCGATCTTCTAGATGCATGACACACTGTGAAGCCAAAATCATCAAAAGTGAGGGCAGGATTTTACATTTCTGCCAATATTTTAAGGGCAACTATTCCCTTAATTCCTTTCTAAGTATACAAGCTATAATCTTCACCCTTTCAAACACATTTAAAAAATTACAAGTCATCTCAAATTCTTAACACTAGCAGGTACAAAAATAATTTTTTGTAACACACTGAAGTTTGTTCTTTAAGTACTACTAAGATTTTCATCTGTATCCTTTCAGTCCTTTTTTATATAAAAAAATTGTTCTTATAAAATAAAAGCAACAAATGATTTTTTTATAAATCATTTGTTGTTCTTATTTTATAAGAATAATTTTTTTCCTGCTTTTAAAGAACTTTATAACAATCTTCAGTTTTTATTAAAAAGTCTTTATTGGCATAATTTTTAAGGTTAAATAAGTTTTGAGAATGTAAAAATATTATTTAACCACAGAGAAATTAGCATTTTGGTTATTATAAATAGTTTTGTAAAACACATCATTTTATTTATCTTTTTTTTTTTTTTTATCTCTCAACTATTTTGTATATAATGTACTCTCATCTCAGAAGTAGACTGCCTGGAACAAGCTAATTTTGAACTTTTTTTTTTTGCTTTCAAGGGTATATTTTAACTAGGTCTTTAATAACAATAAAGAAAAGGCAATTATTTTCAGGACAGCTCTACCCTTGAAATTATGTCCAACTTCATTTTTTATAGAATAGCAACCATCTGTGTCTTTCACCAGAGGCAAATGCTTTTGCATTTGGCAGGCAGAGGTATCCAAGCATCTTCAGTAAGACACCTGATGGCTTTGGCAAGGATAATTCCATCATACACAATTTTCTTCTAGACCATTACGCTTGTTATTTTCAAGGTAAAAAGATTAACAGATGCATCTGAAAATGTTGATCTTGACCATCTGGGCTGAGCAGTGACATGGAAAAATATCCCTTAGAGATGCAATCTTTTCAGTTTTTTACTGGCTAAAAATCTTAAACACATTGTGTTGGGTGGAAGACACACAACTGGTAAGTGATTAAGTAATAATTAAAGCAAGGGAGATTTTACCAGTTTTAATGAAACTAACCCCACGTACACAGAATTAAGTGGTGACAGGATCTCATGTTATAGTTCAGCTCTTTATGGCATGAAATACAGAGTTTTTTAATAATTAACCATACCAAACTCACTGCCATCGAATCAATTGCTTTTAATAAGAGTGATGTAAATATTAAAGAGAGCATTTACATTACATTTAATCCTTTGTTTTAAAATAGTTCACTCAGAGTGTTTCCACAGTCCCCTGGAAGACTCCATGTTGCAGTGTGACAAAACAGAAAACACTGGTCGAGATGGAATGTATACTAAACTTCAAACCAAAGAATTTGGGCAATTCTTCAAACTTTCTGGGATTTTTATTCCTGAGATGGATTTCTTCAAATTATAATTTCTGAAAATTTAAAGTTGTTTTATAGTTTAATTTTTCTCCTTTTGTACTGAAGATCCCACCAAAATCCAAAACCATTGCCATCAAGTCGGTTTGTACTCGTAATGACCCCAAAGGGCAGAATAGAACTGCCTCACAGGGTTTCCAAGGGTGTAAATCTTTATGGGAGCAGGTTGCCACGTCTTTCTCCAGTGGAGCAGTTGGTGGGTTTAAACCAGTCACTTTTCATTTAGCAGTTGAGAGCTTATCCACTGCACCACCAGGGTCCTCTGAAGGTCTATATTAGACTATGTTCTACTGCTACTCATAAGGTTTTCACTGGATTGCCAGATCCTTCTTCCTAGTCAGTCTTAGTCTGGAAGCTTCACTGGAACTGTCTACCATGGGTAACCCTGCTGGTATTTAATACTGGCAGCATAGCTTCCAGCATCAGGTTAACATGCAAACCACCACAATATGACAAACTGACAGAGGAGTGATATGGAGGTAAAGACTGACAGGGCCCACATCTGTGGGCCAGTCATCACGATAGAGGCTTCTCCTGACTCACGTGGTTGCTGGGGCTGATGAATCCAAAACTGGTAAGTCAGATGGCAAGCTGCTGGCTCAAGTCATTCTTAATTTTTTTTATACTATTAAATGGCTAAACATACTTCTAGCTATGAAAAAAAAAAAATAGCTATTGTAATCTATTGCTAGGGCTACTGAGACGTCAAATGCAATACCATTATCAGTCAAGTCTTCTTTGGTCTCCTAAATGTACTGTTCAGAGTATGGGGTAAATGAAAGTACCATGGCTTGAGTCTACATAAAAGCTTGGTAAATATCAGTAATAAAATAATATGAAATTAATGTATTTTCCTTCTTTTATAGAAAAGGAGACTTCAGCATGTAAACAAGGATAATTCAGCATGCTTCTAGAAAGAAAAACTACATATATATGCTGAACAAAAATAAGGTCATTATAACCCATAAATGCTCATCATATGTACCATGACAGCTATCCTACCAAAGTATGCTTTGCTTTAAAAAGCTCAAATACAAACTGTAGTAAAATGGTGTTGTCAGTCTTTGCATACCATTAGAATCATTTCATGAAAGTATTATTAGTAATCATACTAATAGCTGTTTCCTGTGTGCTTATAATGTCTAACATGATTGCAAGTGTTTTACATGAATTTTACATAATTTTCATTGCCATATAAAATAGCTCTATTATTTCACCAGCTTTACAGATAGGAATGGAAGTTTAGAGAAATCACACAGTTAGTAAGGATGAGAACATAGATTTGACTCCAGGTTATCAGATTCTAAAGCCCAGGCATTACCCATGAAGAGTCACTGGCTGAAAGTACTTTCTATTGGAATAGTATCTGAAAAAAGCAGATAGTATCTTAAAAATAGTATCTTAAAAAGCAACACCTTACTCCTAATACTCAGAGATTCTCACAGTGTGCTTGTATAATAGGCACCATCTTCCTTTTACAAATTAAAAAAGTTGAGGTTCAGAGATGCTCAGACTGTCACTGTCACACAATGAATCTGTGGCCAAGTCTAGACTTTCACCCAATTATGCTTGAGGTCCTTCCTATCATATCATATCGTATTGCCACGAATGAGCCAGTGACCAGAAAGTCTTCCAAAGTTCCCTTTTTAGTCTACACAAGTTTCGAACATTTCTGAGGTATGTGGTGTGATTTTAGATTCAGTCTTAAGCACCCCGGAAAATTACCACTCTTAAAGGGAAAATAGGCAATGAATATTCCATTTCTTACTTTGGTGTACAATAGCTCGGTATTGCTGTAGAGGACAGAGGGAGATAATGGGTGCTCTGGTTTGGAGCTGTGCTGCGGAGAGCAACACTGTTGGAAGGCGGGAAACAGGAGAGAAAGAAGTTTATTTTCATCGGTGCATCTATCCCCTAGGTCAGCTCATCTAAGAGTTTCCTAGCAACACCCCCTTTTGAAGCCTTTGTTTCGCTTTTGCTGTTTCCATCTCTTTGCATATACGCAGCACACATATGGAGGAAAATTTGGTTTGTCCATTAAATCTAGTAGCTGGGGAGGGTTGCTAAATATTGCCTATGAGTTTATAGCTTTGAGTTGTTGTTTGTATTTATTACAACATTATGAAAATGATTTAAAAATCCAACTTAAAAATATGGTACCATCTTTACAAAAATTCAGTCCTTTAAAATTTTTTAAATGTTTATACAATGTTTTATTTTATTCTTAACAATTCTATGAGCATGATACCTGAGTAAAAGGAGCTATGGTCCCTTCAGAAACTGGTCTTCTTGAGTGTGAGATTTTTAACTTCCTCTTGGGCATGGTCCCTCCCCCCACACCTTACTGACTTTACCAGACACCTGTTCAAGAAGACATCTGTGCCACTCCATGTATTTGTCTCAGGGAAAGGCTAGTGTTAATGAAATCTATCTGGTTTGCAGGTTTTATATAGTATTTTCTTTTTTTGCTTATACAAATTCCCAATGATACTACTACTAATATACCTGAATTTGTGATATTAAAACCAAAATGCTGTCAGAAGTGTTTTTTGTTTTAAACTACATCTCTTTGGCAATATGAGAACAAATACTTACAAAATCAGCAGGTAGGTGAAGCTTGTAAAGCTGCAAAATTGATTGAAGTAAACTGGACACCTGACTTGAGACCAAGACATCTTGGCCCAGTTTCACATTGTCCACTGGCTTCCTCTGACTCGTGGCTACCTGGACACTCCATTTATCTGTGTCTGCGATAATACAGACAGCTTCAGCTATCGGCTCATCAAGCACTGGATGCTGAAAGACAAATAGCACAGTGGGCTAACTTTTCCACAACTTCTCTAGGTGACACTTAAAATGTCTCTTCTAGTGTTTTGTTTAGCATTAGACTAATGGTTTAGAAATGGATAGTGGGAACTCCAGGAATTTAACAGTTATTGTTCAGTACTATCGGTTCCAACTCATAGTGACCCAACATTCAACAGAATCACACACTGCCTGATCCTATACCATCCTCACAACTGTTGTTATCTTTGAGCCCACTGTTTCAACCACTGTGTCAATCCATCTCCTTAGGGGTCTTCCTCTTTTTTGCTGACCCTCCACTTTACCAAGTATGATGTCCTTTTCCAGAGACTGGTCCCTCCTGATCACATGTCCAAAGAACATGAGATGAAGTCTCACCAGGCTCACTGCCAAGTGACACTCTAGCTATATTTTTTCTAGACAGATTTGTCCATTCTTCCAGCAGTCCATGGTATATTCAGCATTCTTTGCCAGCAACATAGTTAAAATGCATCAATTTTTCTTCAGTCTTCCTTATTCGTTTCCAGATTTCCCATCCATATGAGGTGACTGAGAATACCATAGCTTGCGTCAGGTGGACTTTGGCTTCAAAGCGACATCTTTGCTTTTTATAGCACTTTAATAAGGTCCTTTGCATCAGATCTGCCCAATGCAAATCATCTTTTTTTTTTTTTCAGTGCTGTTTCCATGGATATTGATTGTGTATCTAAATAATCTAAAATCCTTGACAACTTCATTATTTTCTCCTGTTATATGATGTTGCTTACTGGTGCAGTTGTGAGGATTTTATTTTATGTTGAAGTGTAATTTATACTGGAAGCTATAGTCAGATGGTCCTTCCCTAGAACTTCTTTGTGAGCAGAGAGAAAAGGGCTAAACATGGCTGATGTCACTGTATTCCTGTCTGAACAACAACTATTAAAAATGCCTTCAGAGAGCTCTTGTTTCTGGGCCTCCAGTGTTGCTTTGGTTTCTGCCTACTTCCAAGTCTAGTCCTCTGGTTTTCTCATCAATTCTATGACCTCCTAATATTCTTCTAGTAAATCCCGTTCTGCTTAAGTTGACAAGAGTTAGCTTCTACAGCTTGCAACAAAGAACCTCAAATGGATACACAATCTTGCTATCAAGACAACCATTACCTATGATTTCCAAGACTTAACACAATTAGATGAAGGCTGCAAAAAGAAACTCACCATGTATGGTGTTGCATGGTAATTTCAACAGGTGATTTTGCTCCCTAGTACTACAGCAGTTTCTGGGCTTTATTATTAAAGGGAAGCCTGTTTAGCTCTGTCTACCTTCTTAGAGGTGGGGAAGAAGATTGATGAACTGGAATTAAAACTTTGTTGGGAATAGTATTTTTTTCCTACACTATATCCAAGAGGGAGACTTTCAGAGTTTACAATATTTATCCCATTGAAGGGAAGAACAATCAGGCAAAGTCTAATGGTACCACATTTATTGAAATATTATGTTCAAATAACTTGACTCACGAAGAAGAAAGAAGTTAATAAAACAGAATAATGACCCCTCACTTCCACTTTGTTGCCTCCACCCAAAGGTTTGCACTCCCTGACTCCTCCCGCACTACATACACAGATAAACAGACTACTTACAATACACAGTTAAAGACACACGGCCTCAGTGACTTCCTTCTACAAGTTCCTGTATGTTCTTAATCAGAGTGTGACAAATTAAAGCAAGATGTTGAGAACTTGCCATCCATATGGCTTGTGTCTTACAAATAAAGAGAACAAAAGTTTGGAAATTTAAAAGATTTAGAATTTTAAGAGAATGAACCTCAAACCCCTCAGAGTCTTGCATTTGTCAGATATTCACAATGTGCTGGGTATATGTTTATTATAGACCTTTCCTTTAAGTGTCTTATATATTTTGAAAGTGCATATTAATAATTACAGCCGTATGCCAACACATCAGCGAGGAGTTAAATGTATGTCAATCATCACTCATAATAAAACTTAGCTCACCTCCACCCCTATTTAACTTGGGAGTAGATCATCTGGGGCCAGGGTTCCAATTGAACTCAATTTCCTAAATGATTTTCCCAACACAGTGGTAAGAAAGGAAGACTATGTCCATTCAAAAGAGCACATAGACTATAAAGTACATGGTACTACCATAGTCACAAAGAGTTGCGTTTTAAGCAATGAATTGCTGGAACAAGGGCAATAGACTTGCTGGGTATAACAGAGTCTCCAAAACAAGTTATTTCAGAAGGTTTTAGATCCTAACACTACAAAGGGGTTTCAAAAACTGGATAGAAAAATGGAATCAGAAGATAGTGGAAGTTTCCCATAAACTTTCTGAACTCCCCAACTAAGATGATACGGAGCAGAGAAGCTGTCTCATTTATTCTTAAATTACATATTCTCAGGTCACTAAACACCCAATAATGACTCCCTGAATTTATCCATCTAGCAACCAGAATTGCCTTCATTTAACATAACTATATTATTTAGTAGCCACTCATTTATTAGACAAAAATGCTGGAGAGAGATTTTAAAAACCACATCAACATGACTTTAGTTACAAGTCAAGGGGCATTAGGACCTCTGGTTGCTCATTTCTCATTGGGCCTAAATTTCTACAGGGTCAGAGATTTCAAGTTTAAGTTCCAGTGACTTTAGAGATTTCTAAGGTACATATTTCCAAAGGGAACAACACTGTTAGAAAGGTCATTGGTTTATGAGTCCATCTCCAAAGTTTTAGAATTTAAAGAACTCTAAGGTCCAAAACCACCACACATCTGTCAGTTTGTTGTACTGTGGTGGCTTGTGATTCTGAAAGCTTGCTGAAAGTGAAGAGGACTTAAAATATTTACTTATGAAGATCAAAGAGCACAGCCTGGGGTATGCATTGCATCTCAATGTAAAGAAAACAAAAGTCCTCACCACTGGACCCATAAACAACATTCTTATCAATGGAGAAAAGACTGAAGCTGTTAAGGACGTCATTCTCCTTGGATCAACTATCAACACTCATGGAAGCAGCAGTCAAGAAATTAAATGATGTATTGTATTAGGCAAATCTGCTGCACAAGACTTTTTTAAAGTGTTGAAGAGCAAAGATGTCAGCTTGAGGACTAAGGTGCACCTGACCTAAGCCATGGTGCTTTCAATAACCTCATATGCATGTGAAAGCTGGACAGTGAATAAGGAAGACGGTAGAAGAATTGATGCTTTTGAGATGGTGTTGGAGGAGAATACTGACAGTGTCATGGGCTCTCAAAAGAACAAATAGATCTGTGTTGGAAGAAACGCAGCTAGAGTACTCCTTGGAAGCCAGGATAGCCAAACTTTGCCTCTCATACTTCAGACATATTGTCAGGAAGGACCAGTCCCTGGAGAAGGAAAGCACGTTTGGTAAGGTCAATGGGCTCAAGCATGACAACAATCGTTGAGGTTGGCCCAGGACTGGGCAGTGTTTTGTTCTGTTGTGCACAGGGTACTATGAGTTGGTACTGACTTGATGGCACCTAACAACAACAAACCATGTCAATATCTCATTTATCCAAGCTACTTTCTTATGAAGCTTTCTCAAGGTAAATTAACAAATGAAATACTAGAAGGATCTATAAAGTTTCCTAGAAATTTTTTTGAGGCACAGAATTCTTGTTAGGTGCCATTGAGTTGGTACCGATTCATGGTGACCCTATGCACAACAGAACAAAACACTGCTAAGTCCTGGATCAACCTCACAATCATTGCTGCGCCCATGGCCATCACTGCTGCTACTTAACCAAACCATCTCGTTGGGGGGTCTTCCTCTTTTTCCCCGGCCCTCCACTTTACCAAACACAGTATTCTTCTCCAGTGACTGGTTCCTTCTGACAGTATGTCTGAAGTATGAGAGACGAAGTCTGGCCATCCACACTTCTGTTTCTTTCTTGCTTTGCATTTTCCGTTAGCATTCAATCCCTGAGAATAGGGTGTCACATATTTCCTCTGGCTGCTTATTAAGAGTTTTCATTGTCTTTGGTACTCCTCCCTGTTTCTTACTGTAAATTTGTTCCGTTTACTCACCTTGGGAGCTACTGTTTTTATTTAATCTGAGGAATTTTCAGCTATTCTTTCTTCAAATATTGTTTCCACTCATTTTCTCTATGTACCTTGGGATCAAGGGAAAGAAGAAAGGACCCAGGAACAAAAAGTGTACTGAGGAGGGTACACAAAGGAACACTTGACCTTCTGTGTGTTTGTTTGTGACTGTCCCCTTGAAGACCGGGTTCACTGACTAACATCCAAGTTCTGACTATGGCATTGAAAATACAGGCTGTAACCTCTGTAACAGAGCTCTGGTAGCACAGCGGTTACAAGTCAGGCTGTTAACCTCAAGGTCAGCAGTTTTAAACTACTAGCCGTTCCTCAGGAGAAAGATGAGGCTTTTTGCTCCCTTAAAGTTTTATAGCCTCGAAACTGACTCCGCGTCACACCACCACCACCACCAACTACCACTGAAATGGCTTAACTAACTGGCTGCTCACTTGCTAAGGAAAAACACGGAAACCCTATACAGGGTGGCTATGAGTCGGAATCGACTCAACAGCACTTAACAACTACAAGGGTCTGTAGGATAAGCATTGGACTGCAAACCGTAAGGTGATTTGAGCCCACCAGCTGCTCTGTGAGAGAAAGATGAGGTTTTCCATTACTGAAAAGATTTACAGCCTCAGAAACTCTATACATGGTAACTTGAGTCCGCATCAACTCAACAGCACTTAACAAAAACAAAGGGGTGAGGGAGAGGCACTATTAAAGCTGATGAGTTAATGATAATATTTATTGTAGAAGATGACTGGAAAGAGCGAAAACTAGAAATAGGGGCAAACTTAACCACTTTACCAGTTGGGACGGATTAGGAAAACTTAAATCAGACAGCAATCACAATGAGGAGGGGACAGCGAAAAAGTAACAGAATACAGTGAACGACTAGAAAGGGTGGTACCCTGAATCAGTATTTTCTCAAATACT